ACCTAGAAGTCAATTTAGCAAGAAAATCCTTAGATTCGAGAAGAGTCAAATTATTGTAAATTTTGTAAAATGATATGAGTCGACCCATATATTATAGCTTCTAACATTCTAAAATAAAATGGGCCGATTTTCAGCCTAATGCGGACCCTCCTTTCTAATGTCTGAGTATTTAATCAGGCTAGGTGAGGTATATTTCAAAGTATCTAAATATCTGGATTGGGCATATTTTGAGATATCTAAAATTTAAATATCTAAATGTATTATAGTTCGAAATACCTAGATGGGGAGAGTACTTTTTCCAGTGGAGAAAAAAATGCAGTCTGCAAAAATGAAAAGGCCTTAGATGTTTTCTTGTCAAGATCTCGTGTCTTCCTTCTCAGAATAAGTACAAAACCTAATGCAACTCGGGTGCCTCTGACTTTCTGTGTTGCGCGTAGTGTACACGTTTTGTTTTGTTCTTATTTGCCGTGTAGATGTCCATAATGCACTTGTGCTTATGGCATTACCTTTATGTAGAATTTAAGTGGTAGATGTACTATACTCTCTCCTCGCCAGTTTGGCAAAAAGATAACGTTTCTTGCTGTAGATTCAGTTTAGAAATATACAGGCCTCTTTTTGTAATAAAATGTCACTCGCAGAAGAAAAGATGAAAGAAAAAAGGTGGAAGATAACATTTTCCATTACACACCCTAAACGCAAGATAAAAACAACGAAACATATTATTTACCTCATTCGTAACAATGAGAATCGTCAAGAACGTGTGGTTATTTTTATTCAGTCACTACATCTTTAGCAGTGCTCACATTCTTCTAAAGTCCGAGAATGAGGAACAACAACAAAAGACCGCTGACCCGATTGTAATCGAAGTGAGCTGGTCGCAAAACGACTTTCTTTTACATACAATACCAAGTCTTCAGATTGTCACCAATCCGCTCGTATGTGTACAGTCCTCGCCTGTTCGCAAACAAATATTTGACAGTTTAGCACAGCTCAACGCTGAATACGTTAGATATGCTGCGTGGTTTCCTTATCCCAAATTAGCTGTCGCTGAACTTGATCCTCCATCCGCCTTATTGCAATGTGGCAATGCTGGAGAAAGTTATTCGGTTAAATTATCATGTGAACAGGGAGGCGGTGTGATAAGCAGTGTAGACTTTGCTTCATATGGGACAGCAACCGGTGCATGTGGTCAAATGAAACAGGGCGCATGTCATGCAGCCACCAGTTTAGACGTTGTTCAGAAAGCGTGTATCGATCAGAAAGAATGTAGTGTAACAGCGTCGCCTGCTGCCTTTGGAGATCCTTGTAAGTTTTATAATTGTTTCACAAACTTCTAGTTCCAGGAACAAATACTTCTCGTTTTTTTTGGGGGGGGAGGGGGAATTATATACTATTGATCGCAACCTTTCGTTTGTAGGCTTTGGAACACATAAGAGATTGCTCGTTCAAATTCAATGCAATCCACCACAAAACAATACCTACTGGGATTTTACATATCTCGATCCGAGCTTCGAAGATTTTCTTGATGCCACCAATGGACATTCACGTATTATCATGTTTTCGACACAACCTGTGTGGTTATTCAAACTCGACACGCCGCACATCTATCCGGATAATGCATCAGAAGTTGATTGGGGTTACCCACAAGGAACAGAATTGGTGGATGATACGATGGAAGCATTAGGGGATTATTATGGACGTCTCACTGCCTGGTACACTCGAGGTGGTTTCATCGATGAATACGGTCGAAAACATGTATCGAACTATGAATACAATTGGGATTACACAGAAATATTCAATGAAGTCGAATCCGAACATGGAATGTCAGTTGAATATTACACTCGAGCTTATGATGCTGTTATTCAAGGCATTCGACGACATACAAACAATACCGAGATGAAATATGTCGGATTAGCACATGGTGGTAGGTTTTATTCTAAAAACTGCAAAAAAGTAAAGTTTCTCACGAGGGATTCATATGTAATCATGGATCATAAACAGTTGTTCAGTGTCTTATGCAAACAAAACTCTGGAACTACCGTCTTACTTACGCAGTACTCTAAAAATTTTGTTTTATCTTTAAACACATAGGTCACAATGAGTTCGATCGATACCGCTATTTTCTCAATCATTCAAATCATGCACCTGGAATTCCACTCGATATGATTTCGTATCATTTCTATGCTTCGAGCAATACAAGAACAGAGCCGGTCGATTATGAAGCCTTCTTTCCGCAACTTGACACTTTCACATCTGAAGTCAAACAAATCGAAGAAATTCGAAAGGAACTCTCACCTGAAACAAGAACAACTATCAATGAATTGGGAATTATTCTTCCTGATGATAACAACCCAGGTGCACCTCAGTTTCCACTTATTTTTTGGAATGCCGGCGGAGCTTACTTCGCTTATGCATGGGCAAAATTAGCACGACAAGGTATCGATGTTGTAGGACACAGTCAACTTGTTGGTACGTGTTTCCTTCGCTTTGTGTTGGCAGTGAGTCTGACATAGGGATGCACCGATTTCGATTTTTGGATGCTTTTCGATTGATCGAGGTTCGATTGTTCGATTTTTAAGCAAAATCGCTGCATGCCTAGTCTGACGACTTTAATCTGATATCCTTTCAGGCTATCCGGATTTACCAAACCTCCAACTCTCACCCCAATTTCCGAGTGTTGCCCTACTCAATTGGACTACCGGCGAGGGAACAGCCAAATATTGGACTTCGAAGTTACTCATTGAAACAGCTGATATCGATAATGATCAAGCTGTAATAACGCGTACCACCGACGTAGCTGAACAAAATGTGTTTTGTCAAGCATTTGTGAGCAAAAATCGTCAACGATGGGTGTTGATTATTAACAAACGATTTGCCAATGTTGATGTGATCTTGCCTGGCTGTACTGGTGGCACAATGCAGATCGTGAACGAAGCATCTGGCTTCGGTCCTCCAATAGAGACAAAACTGATGGTAGACCGAATTACATTGAGTGCATTCGCTGTAGCTGTTGTTCACATGCCAAACGGAAGCCTTGCGATTTAAGTGAAGCTATTTTCTAGAATAAAATTGGCACGCATAATATCAATTGTAATAATAAAACGGGATGCTAATCATGTTACAGCACTTTGCAATCAGCAGACAAAATACGGAGCATCACTAGGGGTGGCACTTTTCTAGTTACTCGGTAACTTTACTAGTCAGTTACTTCGTTATACTTCGTTACTACTAACGAGTGACTACTTGGTTACTTAGTTACTAGTAACGAGTGACTCATTTTGTTACTTAGTAACTCTCGTTACTACTCCAAAAGTAATGGTTTTCGTTACTTTCTGGAGGAGTAATGAGAGTAACGAAGCAACTAAGTAACGGAATAAGTTACTCATTACTAGTAACTAAGTAACCAAGTAGTTACTCATTACTAGTAACTAAGTAACCAAGTAGTTACTCGTTACTAGTCAGGAAGTAACTAAGTTCGTTACTAGTTACAAGTAACGTAAAGGTGAAGTGCCATCCCTAAGTATCACATTCTTCGGCATGCAGTCGTAGATTAATAAACTATCAAAAAGGGTTTATTGAGGCCAATAAATCTTTTAAAAAACGCTTTCCCGTTTTTTATTACCAAAAAACTAAAAAGCGTTCGTGACGGATGCAAAATGGAAAACGGGCGGTTTTTTTATCAAAAATAAAAACAACCCTTTTCAGTTTTTTGTCGAGTCTAAAATACCAACTAAAAAACTCTTCAGTTTTTTGTAGCCGCTAAAGAGCTAGCTAAAAAATCAGTTTTTAGTTGGTATTTTAGACTCGACAAAAAGCTGAAAAGGATTTTTTATTTTTGATAAAAAGTTCGACAGGTACAACTCTTTTAGGCTTATATGAGATGCCCAATGAAGCAGAATCTTGTAACTTAAAAAAAATACAGCCCCCCGCCGAAAAATACAGGACTTTCAAAAGAGCAGGCCGACAATTAGCTTCGTCTGTTTCTCCTCACTTCTCTCTGATTCAGTGCACAAAAACCTGAAATCAAGTCACATTTATTTGTTTATTAATAACTTATTAGTGATCAAATCCAGCATAAATTAAGTTGAATATACTCACTTCCCTGTGAAGGATCACATGCATTCGTACCGCCAGTATCAAAAACAGCTCTGTTGTATAAACATTCTGGCCCTCCTACTTTGTAGTGCCAGATATTTTCGCTGAAGTATAGTGTAGAAACATCCTTTCTATTCAACAAAGATTACATTTCGCATACGTACTCTTGAGTGCCTGTTTCATAAACTGACGTTATGAGACATATAGCTTTGCTTTATATCTCCTTTACATAACGTCTGGTACTCAAATCTTTGGGTGCCAGATGTATTCTCTATTACCCATGTCGCCAAAACCCAAATTTTTTTTGCGTTAAAATAAGTGGATAACGCAAAAAATGGTTACAAAAGCGAAATTCTGCATATTCTTCAAGAATGAAATATTTACAAAATTCCGCATTAGTTCGGCTAATACAGAATTTTCTAGATATTTGGTTTTAATACAGAATTTTGTAAATATTTCGTTCTAGAAGAATATGCCGAATTTTGCAGAATTTCCCTTTTGTAACTATTTTTTGCGTTACGCCACTGATGTTTTTGCATTTCTTTTTGCGTAACCACGTAAAAAAAATTTTGCAATTTCTACATGGGTAGTTATGACTTCTCTCTACTCGGCTAACATCTGCCACTGAAAGGTTTGAACGCCAGACAGTTTTTCTATGTGGTAACGAAGGTCAATAGAGTTCATGCATTAATTAGACTAACTAAATGCAAATTAAATTTTACTCTTTTTTCTTAAAATGACGTTATGAGGGTGAGGGCTAAACTCACATATAAAGTCTGGCAGTTCAAATTCTATGTGCCGGATGTTAGCCGCATAGAAAGACGTATTCATAACTAATAGAGAATACATCTGGCACTCAAAGGTTTGAACGCCAGACAGTTTTTCTATGTGGTAACGAAGGTTAGTAGAGTTCATGCATTAATGAGACTAACTAAATGCAAATTAAATTTCACTGTTCTAAACGGTAAACCTGCTCAACTCGACGAGCTCTT